TCTATCTATCTATCTATCTATCTATCTATCTATCTATCTATCTATCTATCTATCTATCTATCTATCTATCTATCTATCTATTTCAATATCCTGCTCTTAGTTCAAACTTTTCCTCATTCTTCTCGCTTCTTTTTTCTAATCGACACCTTTCTTGCTCTTCAGTTAACTCGTAATCATGATCATCTTTTCTTTTTCATCATTCCTCTTCTCGCTTTCACATCTTTTCCATGTCAGTATTACCTTCATCTCTCACTCAGCACATTTTCTGTTATGGAAATACATTAGTAATAGATAGCCAGGTTAAAAAAAGGTAACCAGCCTAGATGTATGTTGGTCTGTGTGGGTATGTAGGGGTTGGATGCTGATATCTGGTAAGTACTACATCTCATGCGCAATCATCTGAAGTGGCTCTTGCCTCGAGGTTATGTAGACGCGCAAATACTGTAAAGTGTACGGCCTAGTTTATGGCTATGTGCAAACGTCTGTGTTCATACCTGTTTGTGCGTAGGATCGGTGCCTAGGATAAGTAAGTGTCTTCAAAGCGAGGGTTGTTTTGGTTTTTTTTTAGAGATTTTGTATAATTTAGATGACTCATGCACTCACAGATACACACACCGGCACAGAGAAATTTAGCCTTCATCAGCATGCCATTGACAAACTCCTGTATCACAAAAGCACATACATGCGCACACACACACCCCATGATCCTTTACTGTGCTGACTGTGCTCTTGTCTTCCTTTAAGGTCTGGCACACCTGATGATTGGCGACCAAGGTATGGCCTCCTCTTACCTCACTTCCTGTTGTCCTCTGCTATACCATCACCCTTCCCTCCCCCTTACCTCTTAACTCCCCCTACACTCCTCCAACACTCCTTGTATCCCTCCCCCACCTCATCGCCACCTGGAGCCGAAGAAAGTTGTCTCTCTAGGCACTGAACGAAGGTCAGTTTTTTCTCCGTGATTAAGACGTTAAACAGTCCAGAGTTTTAATTTAAGCTGAAACGAATGCAATTTGCTGAAACAGTTAGACCTGAACTATGCCTTTGAAGATTATTTTAGGTGTTAAGTGATGAATCTGAGAGAAACTTCTTCTAAGATATATATTCAGTAGTCAAGGCTGGAGTAATGGGAGGGTGTAGATGGCTGCTGCTTCAGCGCTTGGTTGGATTAGACTTGGCAGGGCTCCAGGTCATGGAGATGGATCTATGGGCCGACTGACCGACTGACAACATGGATGGTTTGATTTGGTCTTTACTATTCACCTCATTTCATTTTCTCTCATCTGTGTGTAAGAGTTTGACTGAGAGGGATGTGAGTGCTGAGTGTGTGTGTGTACGATGTAGCCATACATGTGCATGTGTGCTCTTACAACAGGGTTTGAATCAGTGACTGGAAGCTTTCAGAGAAACGCACATCCGCACTCCTCCATGGCTTTTCATCTGCTTCCAGCATGTCTCGCTCTGCCGTTGCCGGTGCTCACATGGGCTCCCGTTAATACGTTGGCGAGCGCATGTGATTCTGAACAGATGTTCCTGCAGCATATGAAAGCATTGCTGCTACACCTCAAAACCCAAGTTGCCCAGTGTTTTTGAAGACATCCCCAAAAACAAGTGCCACTGGTCTGCTTGAAAACTGTTCACTGATGACCAAAAAACTCACACTGCCACACCTCTTTTCTTCTTGCCCCACCCCCTTCTCCTTCTCCTTCTTTGTTCCTGCCCTCTTACACTCTGTGTGGGACACCACCCTTTGTGATTTTAGGAAAGCTCAGAGGTACCTCCCATACTTTTTTATGTATCTATGGCTAATGAGCTATTCTGGATGGTTTTGAAGTTGGATGTATTGACAGGCTCTTGAATGTATGGTAATTTCAGACTTAGAGCTGTTCAGCTTCAAATTCTTATGTGCAATTGCTGTTAAATTGGAATGTTTCATTTTTGGTAAGGTAAGGTGTTGACGTATGAGTGTGTGTGCATATGCGTGCGTGAGCGTGCTGTTACTTTTGCCTGCATGCGTGCGACTGAATAGAAGCTCGAGCCTACCGTGCTTTTGAAAATCGGGAAGGTAGGTGCTGCTCGATCGGTCGGCTCTGCATGACGCTGATGAATACACTGATTGGCCCACATGAAGACAGGCTTGATCGTGACAGGCTGATCTGCGTCTATTGTGCTCTTTGATTGGATGAGAGAGACGATGTGATGACGGCTGTCTCCCATTGTGACAGGGCTGCCGTGCATTCGCTGAAATGTGCCATTTAATGAAATGTTCATCCTAGCTAGCAGATAGAAATATCTTGAAGAGAACAAATGATGTCTCTAAACATCTATCATGTAAGACATCTCTATTATGACAAGTATATTTCTATCTGGGCTTTTTTTTCTGTGTTTTGATTGCTAAGTAAACTCACATTGCTGAAGTTTCTGCCTTAAAATGTCTGCCGTGAATCATCCAGGTGGCAGTGAAAATTTAATGGCTTCATCTGGCTTATGCTCAGCATTTTAAATCACCTACTTAAGGACAGACATGTATTAACATATGTTTCCAGCATTATTACACAATGTATTCAGTGTATTTGTGTATAGTGGATGCCCTCGCTATTACGGATGTTTGGATTGTGATAGGCTAAAAAGTAAAACTGTTTCTCTTATTTATTTTTTAAACCTTTGAAGCCTCTTTCAGACATTGTACACATGAAAAGGCTGCGTGTGTGTTTGCGCGAGTGTGTTTTTGCTCTGCATACTGAGATGTAAAGGCTGTCAAATGGTGCAGACGAAGCCTAGCTTAGGTTAGCTCAGCGTAAAGAGGCTTTTTGAGGAGCCTGCAAAGCTGAAATGAGTTTCTTTGAGGGGGTGGATTGGTGTGGGGAGGGGTGTCTTAGAAAGATATATAGCATATGTGTGTGTGTGTGTGTGTGCGTGTGCGTTTGTGTGTGTGGGCAGGAGAAATTGAGAAAAAGAGACCGTGCCTGTGAGAGAACAGCTAAAGGAATGAATGATAGAGGGAGCAGAGAGGGAAATAGGAAGCGAGGGAGAGATAAAGTGAGTCGTCTTTTCTCCTGTGATGTAGAGCAACTGCCTGTATCTGCAAAGGGACAGCGGTGCTCCTGTCTGCCCTCCCAGCCCAGTCATTCACCAAGGGAGATCAGCCCTGATGGGGAGCGCTGGACCTTTCCCCTCCTCCATAAAACACAGTTATCATTCTCCCTGGAAATGATACCCACAGATCACTAATCACTTTGAGTGGGTGAAAATGCACGAATTGTGGAGGGAAGAAAGAAAGGAGGGAGCCAAATTGGATTTTCATAAGTATCGAGCAGCCAAAGGAAGAGGGGGGAAATGGATTTTTTCATGAAAAGTATTGAGCAGCAATAATCTGGATGGAAAATGTGCTTAAAGCCAAGTAGCAGATTTTGCCCTTTTCTTTTCTCTCTGTCTCTCCAAGAATAGACCGTGAAGGGTTCTGGGTGAATGAATGATTGTATATTCTGAATAGGATTGACGAGTGGCTCTTGGTCATAATTGGCAGCTATGCTTGTTTATGATATTTGTATGTTCTTCGAGCTCTGAAGCGGGCTGCCTAGTTAATAATGGTTGTTTGTCTGCATGTCCAAGTGTTCTCGATATCAATCCAACAATCTATACGCTACACAGACAAGTGGTCAGCCTCTCTTGAAGTGACCTTTAAAAATGCGTGTACGTGAACGGACGGACAAACAGACGCAAACTCACACACAATAACCTTTAGAGAGTGCCCGCTGAGTAGGTGAGTGAGTATGTGTTCAGTGTAAATATGCATGAGTAAGGCTGCCTGCACATATTCTTCACGGTCAGTGGATGAAGGCAGTGGAGAGCGAGGTGTGTTTGCCTGTATGTTAGTGTGTGTCTTGTGTGAGTGCATGGGTGCATGTTCAGGGGAGGTGGATTGTGAGTCATCACTTGTGACTCATAAAGCGTCGGCAATCAAAGCGGCTCATTTTAACACATTGTCTTATGGTAAAAACACGCAGATGGACGCACACTCCTGGCTGTGCACACACATGCCCAATATCACAGTCTTTGGATTTCTTTTTGAATTGTCTCTTTTGTGCGTTTCCCCCCCCGCCTCTCCACCCCCTTTTGTTCTTTCATGGATAAATGCGCTTTTTCGGAAGAACGAAAAAAAAGCACACATGTACACACACATACACATACGCAGTGGACGAGCTCCGTGCTGACTCCACCATATGTGGGGTTGGGAGTGGTAGCAGACGCCAAGACAAGAGGAACCAGTCGGTACCAGCAAAGTACAGCATGTCTCCTACCTCTTACTCATCACCACCAACAGCCCTAATAATAAATCATACAAGAGCTGTTTATTTTTTAATAAACTACAGGCCTGCTGAAACAAAATTTAAATACATATTTTTGTTAGTCTAATTACACTTGTATAATTTCTCAGCACACTCTCGTCTTACTCTGTTATTTTAGGTGGTACTGTTGAAATGCTTCGCCCCTCATCAGAAGATTAATCAGCAGCAGTGTAAATTATTGATAAATGATGTGTTGCTCTTAGCAAAATGCCTTCCTTTTTAGTTTTAAATAATTTAGGTCTACAGATAATGATTACTTATTGATTAATTGGCAAGTTAGTTTTTTGATCAACAGATTCTGGTGCAGTGCACTTTTATTTATATCATGCCAAATCTTTTTGCCAAATCTCAGCAAAAGCCACCTAAGGGCAATATTATAGAAAGAATGTGTAGTGTAGCCATTAACCTCGACCAATTGGTGGGGCTTCTATTTTTATCTATTTTCTTTTTTTACCCGTTACATTAAATGAAATAAATAGAAATGTTTTACAGCCCAAGTTGATGTCTTGGATTTGTCTGACCAACAGTGAAAAACTTCAAAATATTAAGTTTACTCACATGTATGACAAAGCGAAGTAGATACAAACTTCATGGCATTACTAGTAGTATAATCAAACAAAAACATTACCAAGATTGGGCATTAATTTCAGATTAATTAGCCTAGTTAAACACAATATGTTTTGGTTTAGGCTGGTTGATCCATTGTTGACATTTTACTCCCATGGTGAGTATTTTCCACCATATTATGACATTTTAAAATGATTAATCAGCAAATTAATCATCTCCAAAAATATTAGTTAGTGTCAGCGCTGTCAGGAAGCAGTGAAAGAACAGGCCCTGCGTTTATGCTTTTAGGTACAGTGAACAAGTATCAACTCAAAAATGTAAATTCACTCAGTTATTGTTTGCGTTGGCCTGATTTCTGTTCCTCCGGCTAATCCTAGCAAAGTACAATGAATGAAAGATACTCATCAGACGCACATTAGCCGCTGATGTTGTAAAGCTTACATAATTAACAAGACGGGCAAGTGAGCAGCCTCCAACTCGAGGTGAGAGAGAGAGATGCTTAGTGTTAGAAGGCAAGAATCTGATGATTGGCTGCCTGCCTTACTGACTGGCATGATTTTGTTTCCTGATGGCCTCATCTTGAGCTGTGAAAAAAGAAACTGTGCGCCCTCTAGCAATCAGCAATGGTAAAGCAATTGCAGCAAAGTTTTTATTGGAAAATTGACAATTATCCCAGATATAAACTCTCCACTAATGGGACTAATTCTGCCTCTACTCTCCACTACTAACACCCATTACGCCACTGTACTACAACACTCATTAATGCTTAACACCCATGCAGTTCTTGTAATGAAAGTCACAGCACCACATACAGTGCTCAGCCCCCACATTATCAGGGAGATGCAGTTACTGAATTCAACATGGGAAATGTGCTGCAATCCCACTACTAAATGTATACTTTTACTGGTAATTATATGCAATTACCAGCTCATTAGCAAGTGTACACATTTACATTTTTTAGCATTCACCGCAACGCTAATAGGGAACACGCAAAGCCGAAGCACCCTATAATGGCCTAAAAATAAAGACATCAAACGGACTCTCCATTTGCAGAGGATGAAGGGGAAAGATAGAGCGGAGGCTGGCAATGAGTATGTAAGGGAGGGTGGGAGGACGGGTGGATGGGATAGGGTAAAAGAGTGCAGAAAAGTGATGGTGACGAAAGATAGGAGCGAATTCAGAAAGTGGGAAAAGAAAGGTGGAAAGAGAAGGTCGGCGACGCACGGGGAGACAGGAAGGGAGATAAGACTGCAGCGTTTCTCAGCAGGAGTGCTGCATCTCTCCTTGGGCTCCCCGACTTGACAGAGCCTCGCATCAGCCAGCATGGTATTCATCAGTGATGCATGTACCTCATCGAACACGCACACTCAGACACACACACTCCATTTTTAGAAAGAAAGAGAAAGAAACAGGGTACTTGGTGCTCCAATTGTTTCTTACTTGTCTTAGCAATTTCCATTGTGCCTGGGTGGGAACCGAGAGTAGCGGCCCAATTGGCGATTCACTTCACTACCCCATCTGGCATTTGAAGTTCATTTCTTCGCTTTTTGCCAGAACGACACATGAACGAGCATACGCACACTCAAAGGAATCGTGCATGCATACACAAACACTCATTTACTTGTGGCACTTGTCTGGCGTAACTATGACAATTAAAATAGCCAAAGTGTTCATTAAAAACCCATCACATTACCTTTATGAAAAGAGCTCTTTATGTGCTTGTTATTTGTTAACAACATGCCACAAGAGGGTTTCATTAGGTGCGTGTGTGTGAGAGATGTTAAAGCATGTGTGTGGATCTAAATGCTGCCAATTGTCTGCTTTTTACACATTTTTCTAATTCTGGTGCTCTTCTACT